TTGTCCAGAGGCAGAGCAGTGAAAGCGTAATTTTCCCAGTGGGGCAGGAGAAGACAGATCTGCCACCTGTAGACTTCTGCTTCCCTCAAGAAAATTCTGTAAAAGTGTTACTGGCTTCCCACGGTCTTCATGAAGAGCAGCTCAGGTTCTTCTTGGGGAGCTTTTTGGAAGAGGGTGTGAAGGGTCAGCTCAGAGCAAAGCACTCCAAAGCACAAGAGAGGCAGGCTGGGCACATGGGCTGGGTGGGCACCAGCCTCCCCTGTCCTTCCTGCACCGTGGCAAGGCAAGGGACTTAAACCAGGGAATACCCAAGCTGCTGCTCTGCTGTTCTCCCTCCCAGTTTTGTTCCCCCAGTGTGGCCATGCAGCAGAGAGCCTGCAAGCAGGGAAGGCAAAGCCTGCTTCTCTAGCCCTGCTTGGGTCACTTCGGGCTGTGCTAAACCCGGTGGCAGAGTCACTTCAGCCCCATCAATGTTAATCGGCTCGATAGCTGACCTGGAGGATGCAGGAAATGAGGCTGTGCCAGGAGAGGGCTGAAGGGTAAGGATAAGCACAATGCCCTTTTATCCCTCTGCTTTCATTGGGAAGGGGCCAGCGATGCCTCACTGCCTGTCCCACGGGAGCAGCTCTGCCAGCTGCCTAGTGGGAACCAACCCTGGCAAATATTTCCATCCAACTGCAAGCAGGATGGGGAAGCTGTGCTGCTTAAGGAGGAGCAGGAAGGGTGATACCAGGCTTTGCCTGTGCCCGGTGCACAGCCTAATGCACTACTAAGAACCCCCTGAGGGTGCAGAGGGCTTTAGCCAGGAGCTTTTCTGGCCAAGCTCAGGAGAAACAAGGCTTTGGTTGGGGCTTTGAGCAACTGGATCTAGTAGAAGGTGTCCCTGCCCGTGCAGAGGAGTTGGAACTAGATGATCTTTAAGGTCCCTTTCAACCCAAAGCATTTTGTGAAATCAGAGTCTTTTGATGAAGAGGAAAACAGCCATTAGCTGCAAGTGCAGACAGGGCTGTGGCTGGCTGTGCCTGCCTGCAGGGGTTTCCCTGCACAGGGATGTCAGTCCACTCAGCTATGTCCACGGATGCCCCTTCCAGGGACATAGAGCCCCCATCAAGGGAGGCTGCAGGAGCCTGAAGCTCTGGGGCTGGGAGTAGATGCAGGCAGCTTGGATTTAGGTTTTAATTGTCCTCCCTTGTTTTTTTCTGGCTGTTTGCCTGCTGGCAGGGACCAAGCACTGGAAAGCAAGGGCAGTGTGTCCCCTTCCTGCCCCACCAGCAGGCCCCACCAGTCCATTTTCCCAGCAGGGGGGTTGTGGAGAAACAGCCAGGAGCAAAGCAGGAGGCTTGGTTTGCTCAGGTCATCAGGAGAGGCTGAGGGTAACTCCTTTCTCCAAAGGCTACCTGTCACTGCCAGCATCTCTGGGCAGGAGGCGATGGGGACGAGGTGACGACAGCGAGGTGGCATGTCCGGTTGCACCCTGGGTCTCATGTCCGGCCCCTCCACTCCCAAGCCCGATGGTTTATTTTCTTTGAAATGCGGCTTTTCCCTGGGAGCAGCAGTAATTGCCGTGTGTGGCAGTAGGGGCACAGTTGGAAGTGCCTGTCCCACTGGCAGAAGGAGCCCTTGCTGCCTGCTCCATCCTCGTGCCCTCTCCCAGGGGCCGGCACCAAATCCTGCAGGAGCTGTGTCTGCTGGGATTGTCACCTCCACGGTGACAGGAACTGTCGCCAGCACAGCCAGTCCTGCTGGGTTCGGGTGTCTGGCATTTGTCCAGAGGGCTGTGCTCGTTAGAATTAAGGGCCTGTTTCACTATAGTGAATCCCCTTCTAATTATGTCCCAGCTGTTTCATGTGGCTCATTACAGGCGATTCAAGCAGCGCTGGGCTGGGCTGACGTTGCTTTGCAGCCTGGTGAGCCCCATGTGGCAGTGGCCCCATTCCTGGGGAGGACAGGAGTCCTGATGGCCCTTGGATGGGAGCAGCATGGGAAGGGACATCTGGGGGCCACAGCGCTTGCAACCACAGCACCTCACCACAGGAATTGCTGGGCAGTGGGCAAAGCCACCTGCAGGCTGCGAGGCAGAGATGCTCAGTTGGGTGACCAGGCATTCTGGCTCTCCTGCCCAGCATAGTGCAGAGCTGCAGAGTGCTACCCAGGTCCCACCACCTCTCCCACTTCTCTGCCCCCCCAGCCCTGCAGAGGTGCCCACCCTGGCCCTCACCGGTGGCTCCTCACACGCATGTCTTGTGCCTCTTTATTAGGGAGCTTTTGTACATTTATAAAACAGTGACACACATCTCTCACGTTCAGTAGCCCTCCCACCATGGTGCCTGTGCCCACCCTGCTCAGGGCTTGCTGTTCCTGCTGGCAGGGAAGAGGCTGCATCCTGCACCCCCCTGCTTGCCACAGGAAACATTGATGTAGGGCTGACTGGCATGGCCAGGGCACATCCCTGGGCTTATGCATGTCACCCCTCTGGGGACACCGCAGCTTGCACTTGGGTGGTGGGTGCAGGGGGACCCTGTGGAGAGCTGGCATGGGGTGCTGTGGAGGAGGTCCTCAGGGAGCAGCACTGTGCCTGCCCTGCTGGGATGCTTTCTGTATCCCTTTGTGCAGGGGCACATGGGACACCATGCTGCCAGGTGCTTGCACCAGTGGGAAACACGTTTCCACGTGGATGCTTATTTTGGGGGGCTGTTGGGCTGTACGTACCCAGAGCCAGGGCTGCTGAAGACATCACAGCCCCCAGTGCATGGGGCCTTGGGGGCTGTAAGGATGATGGCTCCTCCTGCACCTATGGCTTTGCCACGGCCAGCACAGCCGTGTTCTGTCTGCGGGCACTGGGGATGGGCATCAAATCAGCAGAGTCAGGGGTTGCCTGGCCCAATCCCAGCCTCCTCCAGAGGTCTCAAATTCCTGCCCCGGGGTCCCCCTCTCTCCTGTGTGTGTGTGTCGAGGGGGGCTTTGCCAGCCACCCCCCCTCCTGAGATATTTTGGGGCAGTTTGCCCTGCGCTGGTGTCTGCTACAGTGGAGGGGGAGGAGGCAATGTCTGGTCAGGACAGGAGGAGTGCTGTGGGTTCTGCTGTGGGCCCTGTTGTGGTCCTGCCATAGGTCCTGCCATCTCGGGGCAGGCAGGAGGGCTGTGGGTGCCAGTCCTGGCCGAGGCTTCAGCCGGTGGGTTGGGCTGTGGCTGTCCAGGTGGTGCTGGGCATGGGACACCCTCCTTAACCGTGTACAGTCTGGGGGAGGCACAGCGGGTGCTCGGCACCCCAGGGGTGGGAGTGTGGCAAGGGGTACGTGCATGGTGCAAAAATGTGGCAAGAGGCAGGGGAGTGAGGGCAGGACCCCCCTACACTGCCTGGGCTGAGCCAGGGAGCTGCACCAAGGGACAAGCCGCTTTGGGCAATACCTGGGCAAGGAGAGGATGGGGAGGGCTGGGGGGCACGGTGGACTGGGGCCAAGAGAGGGGGGAGGCAGAAGGGTTGCAGTGCTGCAATCACTGGGGGCTACTGGGGGCCAACACTGGGGTTGGGGGGGATCATCACAGTGCAGGGGTCTGGCTGGGAACAGCAGTGGGGGTGGCAGCAGCCCTGGAAGGCTGCATGAGGCTGGGGAAGGGTGGGCAGATGTTTTTTTGGGGGTATGTCACAGTGGTGGTGGTTCCAGGGGTCAGGGTGGTGCCATGCAGGTGTGGCTGCACGTAGGGTGTCCCTGGGCTGGCCAGGGGGCCGTTCTGCTCAGAGGGGTGCCCTGCAATGCTGCCCTGCTCTGTAGCAGGAAAGTGGGGTGTGGTGGTCTCTAGAGCACGGGGAAGCTGTTCCAGGCCCATCTCTCTCCTGAGGAGGATCATGCAGGGCAGAGACCCCCATACAGGAGGGGTCAGCAGAGGATGGCTTGGAGGGCTCACAGGAACCCCAGCTCACGCCCTCCATGTTCTGCATCTCCAGGGCCCCTCTGCCCTGCACCCCACTGCTCCCCCAGACTTCCCCCGTGTGCCCGTGCCCCTCCATGCCGTGTGCTTGAGACAGGGCAGAGCCCATGTGCTGGGGGCAAGCAGAGGGGACAGGCAAGAGGGCTGGGGGGCTGCTCTGGTGTCAGTGCCAAGGCAGCTCCAGCGGCATCACCGGGGGCAAACGGCACGGTTGGTCCCGGCGGTGGGCTCGGGGAGGTGGGGGCCCACCCCTGCCAAGGTCCCTCTCCGTGCAGATGGTGGGAGAGGGGGGTGGCAGGGGGGCTGCCCCCCCCAGGCCCTGCTGTTCTAGCAGGCAAAGTCCTCGAAGACAGGCTGGGGAGAGTAGTGGTGGGGGG